ATGGTGATGGTAATGGTGGTGGTGGTGGTGGCGGTGACGGTGGCGGTGGCGGTGGCAGCGACGGCGCTGGGTGGGTGATGCCTAGTCGGGCCTGAGAACGGAAGTATCGATACGGAAGCCAAGCATCAACCACAATCCTTCTACACCACCGGTCCCCTGCTGGCGCGGCAAGATATTCAGAATGCAAGCGCCCGCACGATAACCTTAGGTAATTTGGCAAGGTTGCAGAAGCCAAACATCCACGCCAACAATCCTTCGGCTGTCTGCAAGGATTCAGAATCCAAGCGCCGGCATAGACAACCAGTTCAGCATTCAAGTTCAAGCTGTGCCGCCTCTGGCATTGTTGCAACAATATGTTTTGGCATTATTAGAGATGTTGCGACATGTCTTCGGATGCGCTTCCGAAGGTGGCCTGTGGTTTGCAGCACCTACACTGCCACAGCATCCTTCACCGCGATGTTAAGCCCGCTAACATCGTGCTGGACGGCATGTGCGCGAAGCTTCTGGACTTTGGCTCTGCATTTTGCGGAGCTGACGCCCCTGCTGGAGACATTGTGGGCACCCCTGGATACGTCGGTTGGCAGCATGGGCATTGCGCTGGTTAGCACGCAGGGTATGTTGTCAGGAAAGGTTTGTTTGTTCGATCTCGGCGAGGTGTCCCCGGAGGTGATGGGCAGGGAGGCTCACAGTACACCAACTGATATTTTCTTCAGTTTGGGTGCTGTGGTGTGGGTGGCCCTGACGGGCGGCTGGCGGGGCGCGCCCAAGCCGGCCTCAGGGCTCTCCATGACCCTGGCTCCACAGTTCCTTGACGGCGTTGTCGCCCTGCCAGCCGTTTACGAGGCCTTGGCTGCTATCGGCTAGTGTTATTTCATGGTTGATGTGCCGAATGGCGCTACAACCTCTCTACCTTGTGAAGCCCTAGAACAGGTCAGTGCTTATTAATCCGGCATGCATGTGTGGAAAACATGTTTTCCACCAATACCACTACACCCCGAACTCCTGAAACCCAAACACCTGGACCTAAACACTGAATCTCCAAGCCCTACTAAACCCTCGCAGCTTTGATGTGCTGTGCACAAGTTTGCTTGAACGCAGTGAAGTCCAGGCCTTTGGTGTGCCATCTTTCATGGCTGTAGCTTTCAAGGCTCAGGCATGGACGCAGGACACTTAGGACTCGCCATTCTAGGACTCGGTGCTGGGCTCTGGCTTCGAGGAGGCAGTGAGAGCCCCACTCCGCGACCGTGCACTTGTCAGTGTGCCTGTGCTGTGCCAGAGCGGGCCTCGGAAGGCACTGGGGTGTGGGCAATTCTGTTACTGCTGATATCTGTTATCGCAGGGCTACTTTGGCTGGTCTTCCGATCGATTCTCCTTCGCTCCCAGCTGGAAGGACAGGAGCAGTTCCTGCGACCAAAAGGCAAGGGAAAAGGAATCTACGGCGCCAGCCACGGCCTTGAGATTTTAGATCGGTGAGGCGGATAGAAATGCAAGACGGGGAGATTGTGTACGTACGGTATGCAGGAGACCCCGGGGTGATCCATACCAGGTTGTTGATAGGGCAAGTGGATGGTGATGAATGGTTGATCTGTACGCCCGACAGGGACATCTACGTGGAGGAACTCAACATGGGAAACCCAGATTTCTCTTACATGTGGCATAGTCCCGACGGGCGAGTGCCGAGAGGCGTACCTCAGCGCCAGGTTTACGGCTTTGCACCCATGAGTGCTGGCGCTTACGCGCGGCTGCTGTCTGATGGACGGCGTGAACTCGCCGCTGAGCTCAGTCGCCGAGGCGTTGGAGAGGCGCCAGTCGTGGTTGGTGGAGGGCCTGCGGTGCCAGCTGCACCTGTTGTTGGGCCTGCTCCTGCTGCAGCTGCTCCTGTGCGAGAAGCGAGTGTGGAGTTAGAAGCGCCTGGGGCTCGGGGCTTAGCTGGCCGAGGAGCCGTGTGGGTGGCCGCTGAAGCCGCTGGTGGACTTCGGTACGGAGAAGAAGTTGTCGGAGTTCAAGCCCCCGCAGTCGAGGGAAGCAAGACAGTGCACGTACTGGGAGATGGGACCTCCGTCTTCTGTATGTGCATTACCTCTGGCGGGATAGAAGCATTCAACAATCGACCAGCTGCGTGTGATGGCCGGATTTTGCCTGTGAAGTTCAATCCTTTGGGTGCCCCTGAAAGGGCACTGGCCGAGGTTGTGAGCTTGTGTCGGGAAGTCGACATGCGCTGGAAGCTGACTGGACCGAGGACTACCCTGTGGTGTCTCACTTACTTGTCTGCCGAGGGCCTCGGGTTTGAAGCGCATCATGAGAGATTCCGCCAGGTCTGCAAGATCGACAGCAACGCATGGGGTGTAATGGAGCATTTTCAGAGTTCCATGGTGCTGCGTCAATTGATTCAGGTTGATCAGGTTGATGCCGTCAACTGCTACGGGGTGGAGTTGCTCTTCAGAAGACTTCAAACTATCGAATACTCCCATTCCGAGCGTGCCCGCGAGATGGAGAGCAGGTCGGTAGGAGGAAAGATGTCCCTCGAAGAACAGTACACCTTCGGCTCTCTTGTACGACAAGCTGGCACTCTCATGATTGCGCCTGCTCTCTTGGATCACGTTAAGAGCGAAGTGGAGAAGGATGTTCAGCTTTCCAAAAACATGAGGAAAGCTCGCGAGGAACGCGAGCTTGCAAAGAAGAACAAAAAGAAGGAGGACCCCTGAGTGGGTCGTTGCTGGGAGGTTTGGGGGGTGACCGTCCAGCGGGAACTTTTACCCCTGTCTGTGCAGAGCCTGGTCGCGAGGTGGCTCGCGACATTTTTCCTCTTCCTCCCCCGCCACATCCGTGCAGTTTGGATGGATTTGCTGGCAGCCGCTCTGTCAAACGAAGGCTTGAACGACGCGGTCACCATGAAGCTTTGGTGGGGAAGTGTGTCTCGGCGTTGAATGCTTTGTACAGTGGAGGTAAGGTTGCACCGGAGAGCTCCAGCGCGGCCTTTCCCTCCGTGGCACAGCGGGCCGTTTTGGACCATATTCAGAATTCAGTGCGTGAGTTGGGACCTCCTCCACGGGATCTCGACGGCCCAGGAGCGCTACAGCAGCTTCGGGCTTTTGACGGCTATGGGGAGGACCAGACCCCGTGCGCGGTCAAGTCTTACAATCCTGCTTTGCTCAGCTTACCTGCTCCGGGAAGTGAACCAGTTCCTCTTGGGCAGCTGTTGGGCGATGGCGGGCAGTTAGTGGTGGACGACTTTTGTGCGTCAAGGCTCCTTTGTGAGAATGAGGCCCGCAAACGTTTGAAGGATTGTGGGGTGGCGAAATGCTACAGTGACCCGCGGCTTTTACAGCCCTGTGTGTATGCAGACTTCGTTCATCGTCTGATCGAGGCAGGCGTGGTGGAGCTGGTCACGGCTACTCCGAAGGAGGTCGTGGAGTGCTTCTTCGTCGGAAAGAAGGACGGGCGCCTACGCTTGGTGGTGGACTGTCGAAAGGCCAACATGTGGTTTTCTGCTCCGGCTAAGGTCAGTTTGTGTACCGCCGAAGCGCTATCGCGCATTGACCTCGAGTCCGAGGAGAGCGTTTTGCACATAGCAACAGCTGACCTAAAGGATGCGTTCTACCACTTTGAACTCCCGACGGCCCTTAGGACGTATTTTGGCATGCGCCGCCTTCGAGCCAGCGACCTGGGGATGTCCGAGGTCGCTGGAACTGCTGTCAGTGCCAGCTCTTTCGTGTATCCTCGTCTCAAAGTTCTCCCGATGGGTTGGGCGCACGCGCTGTGGTGGTGTCAAACTATCCACCAGGCCATCGTTGCATCAATCGGAGCCGGGCCAGAGAGCTGCCTTCAAGACAAGGTGGCAGCCCCTCCTCCAGTATGCATGCACCTTGAGTACGTGGATAATTTCGTAGTTCTGGGCACATGCGAACAGGAGGTGGAGAGACTTGCCACTGCGGGGGCAGATGCTTTGAGAGCTCGGGGCTTGGTCGTGCATGAAGAAGAGAGGGCTACTGGTAGCATCAAAGTTTTGGGCTGGCAGTTCGACAAGTCTGTTATGCGACCCCTTCCCCATCGAGTGTGGAGGGTGATTTTTGCAATGCGACGACTCCTGGATGTCGGAGTTTGCAAAGGGAAGCAGCTTGAGAAAGTCATTGGGCACGCTACTTTCATCGGGCTTGGGCGTCGTGAAGTTTTAGCCGTTTTCGGGGAAAGCTATACCTTCATCCAGAGGCATTATCACTACCCACATCGGCTGTGGGCTTCAGTGCGCCGAGAGCTCGATATTTGGATTGGGATTGCTCCTCTGATTTGGAGAAATCTTGCGCTCCCGTGGAGTTCTGAGGTCACTGCCGTCGACGCCAGCACTTGGGGGCTGGGAGCCACGGCCGCGACCTTCGACCAGCAAGAGGTGCGAGCTTTGGGACGTTACTCTGAGCGTTGGCGCTTTGGTATTCCTGATTACAAGTTGCCTCGGGCTTCTGCTTTTGCTACCGCAGTCGCCAGTGAGTCTGATGACGCTGGGGTGCTTCAGCAGTTCCAAGGTGGTTCGGAGAACTACGACGTTGTCGGGAACCTAGCCAAAGATCATCGGAGTCTCGGAGATCGTTTCAAACCCGTCAGCTTTGAGACTGTCGTGAAGCCTTGGAAGGTCATTGGCCGCCACAAGTGGCGTCGTATCGAAGGGATGCCAGTTCTGGAAGGACGGGCCTCCCTTTATGCCATAAAGCATGCCCTACGCAAGTCTTCTGGGTTTCACAGACGGCATCTCATTCTTTCCGATTCGACTGCCGCCATTTGTGCTCTCGACCGTGGCCGAGGCAAATCATTTAGGATGAGGCGTGTTACACAACAAGTTGCAGCGCTGTGCTTGGCTTCGAACTCCTGCTTCTACTACCGGTTCATTCCTAGCGAATGGAATCCTGCTGACGGACCGTCTAGGGGCTCTTTGTTTTCCTCTTTGCCTAGGCATGGTCATCCACCGCCAGTTGATTCTGCCGGAGCGCAAACCCACGGCCACTGCACGGACAAGGAGGAGTCAACAGACGTTGAAGCCCAGTTCCACTGTGCAGAGGGCCCAAAAGGCGGTGGAAAAGAACAAGCAGGAGAGGGCTCAAAAAAGACAGAGCCTCAAGGAGCCCGGTGTGACGCTGGCGGAAGTTTCAGTGTCGGAGGCGTGTCGCGAGCGATACCAAAGCCTGTGGAGGGAGTTTTACCGTCGGACAGGGCTTTCGGTGGAGAGACAGCTGCCAGCCTACGAGGTGGACACGAGCTTGAGTCATGTTCTCGACGAGCTGTTCAACGAGGGCGAGGACCTGTCGATGGGTCAGTACATGGTGGCTGCAGTCTTATACAAGCTGCCGTATCTCAAGAGCCCGAAGCAGGTGCTGTTGCCTTTCGTGAAGCAGAGTCTGCAAGGCTGGAAGCGACTGGATCCGCCGAAGTCCCGGTTGCCCCTTCCTTGGGAGATTGTGTGTCTGCTGGCGATTATGGCGCTCGCTATGGGAGAAGTCGAAATCGCCATGTTCATGTTAGTCAGCTTCGTGTGTTATTTGAGGCCTGGCGAAGCAGGAAGACTGAGGGTGGGAGATCTGGTCCCGCCAGTGGGGACAATCAAGAGCTGGAGCCTGGTCTTGCATCCCGAAGAAGAAAGTGTGAGCAGCAAGACTGGAGAGTTCGACGAGACGATCCTCTTCGATCTGCCCGAGATCGAGTTTGTGGCGGTGGGTCTTCACCTTCACCTCAATCTGGCGAAACGGGCGAAAAGTGACAGCATGTTCACCGTCACACCTCCGATGGTCGGAGGTTTTATGCGGAGTCAGGGCGACAAGTTGGGCATCACTGCGAAAATCGGGGATGTTCATCCTTACCGGTTGAGACATGGAGGTCCAAGTCGCGACATCGCCTTACGACTGCGCACCCTCGCGGAAGTGCAGAAGAGAGGGCGATGGAAGAGCTTCGCATCAGTCAGACGCTACGAGAAAGGTGGGCGTTTGAGCCAACAACTGCAGTCGCTGCCACGCGCGCTGCGCGATCGCGCGATCGCCGCAGCAAACCGAATCCAGAAATCGGTGTGCGCAAAGCCTTTGCGATGCATACCTCACTGAGTTGCAAGGTTTTTCTCGTGATTGCCGAAAATGGTGGTGCTCTGGGACGGTCGCTCGTAAAAGACTGCGGACACCACGTACTGTTTTGGGATCTCCGAGGCGGTCCTCGCTACGACCTCCGTGTACCTGAAAAGAAGAGTCTCATCGTGAGTTGGGTGCTGGGAGGGCGTATTCTGGGACTCCACTACAGTATACCTGTCGTGTCTTTTTCTCCCGTCCAGGAGCAACAGTGTTCTACGCGAGCTGTTCGAGACCGGAGGCACCCACTTGGAAGGCCTGGGCTTGACGTCTCGGAGCAACTTCGGTTGCTTGACGGTAATGGCTACATGAGGTTTGCTTCGAAGCTTCTAGGAGTTTGTTGGCACAGGCAAGTCCCAGCCTCAGTTGACCATCCTCACTCCTCGATGTTGTGGCTCTGCCCGCCGATTCAAGTGCTCTCTCGTCGGCCCAGCTGCTATTCTGTATTAGTACATCAATGCGCGTGGGGCAGTCCCTCCAGGAAGCCTACAACAATCCTGTCCGTCATGCTCAAACTTGACCGTCTCGCCAACAGGCTCTGTACATCGAAACGGGCGTGCTCATACACTGGGCGAGCTCATGGTGCCCCTCGTCGGGGCGGCTTCCCTCCAAAGCTGTGCCAAGGGTACAGTGCTTGCTTGTACGATTGCGAAGTCTCCTGCATTGCGGATAATTTTGATGTGCATATTCATGGTAAACACGGCTTTGCCAGAAGGCGAGCAAAAACGGGCCTGGACAGTTTAAATGTTCATTAGCTTTCTGGCTTTGAAAGGTCGCTAGTATGGGCCACTCTCTGCAGAACTTGCGTTTTCCTGAAAGGGGAACGCCTGCGACGCATCGAGCATTGAAGCATCTCCTGGCCAAACGATGCGGAGTGTTTTGCATTAAAATGCTTTTAACCCTGAACCCTTTAAACCCCTAAGGATTGAAACCCAAAACTTCTAAACCACAACACCCCGGGCGACAAATATTATCCCTAACCCGAAGCCGCGATCGCAGATCCCAAGCCCCGAAGCCTAACATGAAACCTAAACCACGCCACTAAAACCGAAAACTGAGACAGCTTCAGGCCGCCCCAAATCCGATTGTCCTGACCCCACAAGCCCGGGGGTGGGGCTCCTGGAGCAGTTTGTCATTAGGGGGAGTGAGACGGTCGCTGCAGTCGCTAACGACACCAAGAAGCAATGACCTTTGAACGACTTCTTGGACGCTCTATCGTAAGTGAGACAAGTGAGATGTCACAAATGAACCACCTCCCTGTGGCGACCCCGCCGCCACGTGTCCATGATAGGGAGGGACCAGCAGACTGGGAATGTGGCATTCCTACGTTGGTAGCCTGTCCATCTACGTAAAGCCTACCACTGACACTGTTACTGTTTGCGTCGGCAGGGGCACAGGCGACCAGTCTTCAAGGCAATTGGCAGCGTTTTCTAGCCAGACATGGCGTGCACATCCCTGCGAAACACACACCCTTCTGCCAACGTAAGGCATTTGAAGCCCTACCTGCTCTTGCGCAATGCCTTGGCAACTCCATGAAACTCACGAAGCTCTCGGTCATCCTATACAGACATACATCCATCCATACAGACATGATACGTACAGTAATAGTACTGAAAGCGCGCCTCCTGCTTTGTTTTAAGATGTGTATTCTGGAGAATTGAAGGATGGTGCTAGCAAAGCTTTGCGGGCCGAGCTGCTGCTTGATTAAAAGATTGATGATGCACCATTTCCTTCCAATGTGATCTTTCCTACAATGTGCCTTACATACATCCTTATCACAACCACAAGTAACTCAACCCCAACACTGTCACGACGCACGACGTCGATGCTATCAGCTGAAAACTACAAAATCCTAGCAAACAATCCAACCCACGTGTAAATCCTGGGCAGGATCAATCTGTCCAGACTCCTGATGTCCAAGTGGCGGCATGTGCCCCAAACAGTGTGTGTTGGCGCAGCTGTCTGCTGACCCCAGTTCTGGATGTTTGTGCCCAGGAGACTCAGACGCAATCTTTCGTGGCCGCCTTGCAATACCAATCATGGTAAGAAAGCATAGGAAAACCAAGTTTGCAAATTCGTGACGATGAGGCATCGGATCGGCTTCAATCCATGAGTGATTGCGAACTCCTTGCTGCTTGCGAATGCTTTGCGTGGCCCCGAGCTTCATTGCGTAGGCGTCTCAAGGATGGGACATCGTGTGCGTGTCATTGTCTGCGAGGCTGCTTCGAACCAGACCCGTGATGACAGCGCCGACACTGAGGTCATGCCGTCCTGCATTCTTTTATCAGCTGCAGTGAGGGCCTTGAGAGGAGCGTTGCTTCATGGCAACATTACGGGTTGAGCTTGGTGCTGAGGGTTGCCCCACTCAGTTCTTACACACATGAGCTGCGCATGAAGACCAAAAAAGGACCTGGTTAGGGCTGGGGTTTAGGGTTATGCGATTGCTTCAGGCTGCGCCCGCACCTGCTGCGTATGAAGCAGCCATGCTCTCGGGTGGTCTTTTGCTTTCAGCATTCCTCCCTCCCTCCCTCCCTCCC